TATATATATATATATATATATATATATATATATATATATATATATTCTTGGGATGATGATTTCACAAAATTAAAGGAAATAAGAAATGAAAATTTTCCCTTTTTCACATCCCTATTTATTGATACTAATTAATTAGTTGCTTCGCTATTATATTATCTATTATTATTTTATTATAGTGGATTATCAATCCCTTCTATGTCTCCTTTGGGCCGGGAGTCTATAGTCTCTAGCAAAGGAGTTCCTAATAACATGGATGGCATAAGCCAATTCTTCTTGTAATCGGACAACTTGGGACTGGGTTTGATTTAGGAGCTGGAGAGCCCTTTCCGTTTCTTTCCTTGATTCCCTTAATTTATCTTCCACAGTTATAGTGTACAATCTGATCCTATGTGCTTCCTCTTGTGCCATTGCACACTAATGGTTGCTCTCATTTATTTGATCAATAAGGCATTGAAGTCTACTTGGGTCAACCTGGTAGGATCAGGGAAATTTTCTCCTACTACGCCCGATGCAGCTTCTAGCATAGCTTCTGAGGGAGGGTGTGCTATGTGAGGTAAAGATGTAACTTCTTGCTGCCAATACAAGTCCTCCCATGGGTATGAAAATATAACGTGGTTATTTTCATTGGAGACCTCAGAGTTATTTATAGCTACATTAGGATTATTTGGTGGTTCCATTGGCTTGTAATATGGAACTATTTGTTCAGGTACTTGATTTGGAGTTGAGACTGTCTGTTCGAGCACTTGATTTTGAGAGTTTAAGATGAAATACGGGTCTTCATACGATGACTCATGTAACCATCCATTTCCATACTCAAACAAATCTCCTTCGTTCCTCGCAAACATTTGTAATGGGTAAGAAATCCTTATCAAATGTATGCTAAAAATGTTGTTCAAGTCTAGGTTTGTCTAATCTAAGGCCAAATTAGTTCACTTGAACCAAACGCTCTGATACCAACTTGTGACATCCCGTTCCTGGGTGTATCGTCCTTTGCCCCTTAGTACAAGTGAATAAAAGAAAAACTTCATATCTTAAACTTTTATTTCATTATAATAGAGTTAATACAACAACGAAAAATGCAAAAAATTACAACTTATAATATTCTAACATCTTAGAATAGCAATACTTCAGCTTGTTCCTACTCCTTGATTCCTGAGATATATACATGAATACGTAAGCTTTAAGCTTAGTGAGTAGTTATGATTTCATGATAAAACATTCTTTCCAAATAAATTAAAATAATTCTTATAAACTTTCATGTATAACAACATTTCTTTGAGATCTCATGGTTACATGTTAAGTAAACCAACTTCTCACACGTTTTTTAACCTCGGGTCCACATAAGGGCTGCCCAATAAGATCCGTTTGCAAGACATACCTTCTTTCTATATCCCGTACGTTGGATATTTAAATGGTTATACTTAACATGTATACAAACTTTCATATGCCACATGTGCATCATGACATAAAAGGTGTACTTTACCACATAATCATAACATAACTTTTACAAGAAGATATGACAATATTCTTTCATGCATAAAACATTTATGTATATATAGCATGTATGTATCCTAGTAAATCTCATAACGTATTCACCTTATTTATACCCTGCTTTTGGACTTTCTAACTTACTTCTTAGTCTTTATTATGCTAATCTTGGGATGAAAAGAATGAGCCCTTTAAGCTTTTATTCATGGGGTGTAAGGTATGCTTTAAGGTACTTGTTCACTTAGTTTTTCAACTTGTAAATCTCTAAGGATATGCCACATATGTACTTGTTCATTCTAGCCTTACCTTGTAATGCTTTTAGGGTTGCCACAGCCTCCTTTTCTCTTACAACTCATTCTCTAGGCTTGCTTTGTCATAAAGAGTAAGCTTGCTTTGTCATAAGATTTTTGTGGCTCATGTTGTTTGTTTATAAGTAGCTTAGTAAGCTACTTATGTGCTTATTGGTAAGTAGCTTTGTAAGCAACTTGTATGCTTGCTTGCTTATTTATTTCTATAATTAATATTTTTTTTTTTACTAAAAGACGTTATTCACCTTGTTTTAGTTCTTATATTAGGGACCTTTAGAAACAACTTAACTTTATAAAAAATTATGATAAAGATATGTATACATCTATATAGCTGGCTGAAAATTAGGGTTATTATAATAAATAAGAAAAAAGACAAAAAGAAGGACAAGACCAATCGGCCCCTGACGTAACGATTTTTTCAACGGCTGTTAATGGGAGGGATCAAAACCAAACAAAAATACAAACTGCGATGGACAAGTTTGTATTAAATGAACTTTAGAGACCAAAACCAAGATTTTCGAAAAACCATAGGGACCAAAATTGAAGTTTACTTTTTTTAAGTCGAGTCGAAATGTATACATTGTAACTTGAGGACCAAACACAAACTTCATTATTATATATAATATTATTTAATATTATAGAGGCTAAATCAAATATAAACCACCTAATACACATCTTACAAACCAATCTCAACCGCCCGTGTAGATCATCAAATCAATGTCAACGATGTTAATTAAGTCGGTTCCAAAATTTACTCTCAACCTTATCTGCAATTGATCTGGTAACCGCCTAAAAAATTTAAAATACACAAAATCAAGGGCCGAGATTGATTTGCATGGTGTGTAACGTTTTCCGTGGTTTGTATATATAATATTATTAATTATGTATATATAATACATATAGACACCATCCCAAACCCATGGTCCCGAGCCCTCGCCATCCTAAACCAGTCACCACCACCCCTCTAGCCTTGACCACCACACAACACACACACACCAACTTCATCTCTGGTTAACCTACAACTTCTTTAAAACCCACAATACACATACGTACACACAGGCAGAAATATACACATGTTTATATATATATATATATATATATATATATATAACTAGTTGTGTACCCGCGCAATGCGGCGGGAGCCATGAATTTTAATGATTTTGAAGTTTCACTGGTTTTATAAAACAAGATTTAACGATGATATAGGTTACACTTGATCTTTACATATTAATACAATTTGAATAAATAAGAGTTATGGTTCTAATTACAGACTATCGATGAAAAAAATTGTATGACAGTTTAAAATCCAATATATTTAAAATTCAACATATTTAAACGACTCCACAAATGTGTTCGATTTACACCAAGAGCAAAGAACCCAAAAACTTGAGTTTTAAGATAAACACTCAAAACCAATAAAGAAAACTACAAATTTGACAGATCATAAGCTATGAAAAGACCAAAAAGATGGGTTTTAGAATGAAATTTCTACTGCTTACCCTCTTTCTTCTCCAGAAGCTCAGATTAAGGTTGAATTAATACATGTATATATATATATATATATATATATATATTTCAAAAAAACCCAAGAACATATTATACAGTGCAATTTGGACAGCCTAATCCCAAAATGTTTAGCATATATATAAATAAATAACTATAAAAGTATAAATCGTAAACATTAAAAATATTTTTTTCACAGTATATATAATATATAATAATATAATTAAGTCAAAAACTATTCAATAGTAGACTCATTTCGAAGGTATTAACGAGATGATTATAATAGTGTAACTTGTTAAAATAAAAATGTATTTTTTAAACATGCTTTATTTGATATACGATTATGTATGTTAATTTGATAAAGGTTTAAAATGAAACATTTAAAAGTAAAGGACGTAAAGTAATTAATTAACTAATTATAGGAATATAAAATGTAAATTTAAAATTATAATTTTAAAAAAAATCCGTTGAATGTGAGAGGTAAATGTATGTGAGAGGTTGAATGTGAGAGATAAATGTATGTGAGGGGGTGAGTGTATGTGAGGAGAGGAAGGGGTGCAAAAGTGAAAAAGTGAAAAGGGTATCTTGGTCATTTAGAATTTTAAGACTTTAAGACTTTTGATGAATTTGCTTAATAAGATAGTATAGATATAACATATACACATGTTTTTTTGGCTATTTTTATTACTTCATATATATATAATATAACATATACACATGTTTTTTGGCTATTTTTATTACTTCATAAGTAGTTAATACATAAAATATGATTACACAAAATATTATTTAAAATCTGATTGATCCAAAGATTTTGAATAAAGAAATTCAAAAACCAAAGGGCCTTTGGCCTAGCGGTATGTGAGTCTTTAGCCTCCTAGGAGGTTTAGGGCTCAAACCTCGCCAAAGGTAAGAAAGGTGTGTGAGTTTATTTGTTCTATTTGACGCATATAAATATTATACACTTCAAAAAAAAATTCAAAACAATGGATTATGTCATAGGGGACTTTTAACCATTTAAACTGTTTGACCCATTTCCTTTCAGCTAAGTTTTTAATGTTTACCCATTAGCAATAAAATACAACCTAAATTGGCCCATTTTCACATAAATGGGTTGAAATTGTGTCCCCTCTAATGGCAATCAATGCTTTGTAAGAATGAAATTACCTCTTGTCAGCAGCTGCAATACTTAGCAACTTCTTCATATCTGTAGAAACCAACAACTGCACCCCTTCTGAATGCAAAATCTCCTTTTTAAAGATCTGGATGTTTTCTTTTGAAAGGGATTGCATCAAATTTGAGCCCTTGACAATAGTATTAGCAACTTCAAATGCCAAAATGGATACTGTATTACTCCTTGAAGCCGTAATAGATACAAATTCACCGACAGAATTCAAAGAAGACAATCTGCTTCCTATAGTGTCTAGGACTTCAGCTACCTGCGCCAAGAAACAAGCTTACATGAGGCGCGTTCCAAAATGGAAGACGGGGACTTTATTAGTACAATGACATAATCAGTTCCCTTAGTAATTCGAAAATATTAGAAGAAATTAAGAGAGAGTGAGAGAGAAGACACGAGAATAAAAAAGACATTTTGCATATAGATCTTACATAGGAAAATGTAGTACTCGCGTATCTTTTGGGTGCATTTCAACTACCTTCTCTTTATACAGTCCTATTGCTTGTGAGTGTATAGACACAAACATATATATCTCGTTGACAATTGACATACATTACTACATAGACATTTCGCATTGATATTAAGAGCATTCCAACATGATGGTAACTAAGATCCAACTACCCGTCTCTATCAATAAACAAATAGCCTAGTGGTAACGGTTGCTTACTTTCTTGAACGAGACGATGTTTGAGTCTCACTAATCTCACCCACAACCAATTATTGTGAAGGGGTGTGCAGATGACAATTTCGAGAGTGATAACCTCATGAGTTTCTGGTGTTCCGGTAACTTACATTCTGTTTATGATTATATACAGGTCAAAAATAAGTCCGAGTGTTGGAGCCAAAAATATCTACACAAAGGGTCTGAAATCAATAAATTGATTATAATTTTCTATCAGGGAATTAAATATCTAAATTCTGATTTTATACTAAATTTGTAACTCCTCTTTAACTAGAACAATAAAAGCAACAACCTGCTAGCCCCTGGTTCTGTCACAACGAGTGTTTTAGAGATAGGGAAAGGATTTAGCATATACCTTGCTACCCCCAGCCCTAGCAGAGGTGGAGGGTTTCAGTTCTCGTAAGATGAACAGTTCACTGGATTTGTGCAATGTCATTTTCCTACGAAAGAAACAAGAATTAAAAAAAAAGACATTTCACATATAGATCTTACTGTGTGTGTATTTCAACTTGAGTCCCTTCATACCGTCCAATATGTGCCTAACAGAGTGTTTATATAGACAATGGTGGGTGTCGAATAATTAAAATTCAAATAACTTTACAAAATTTCCAGAAATTATACTTAAACTTTACATTACAACCAAATTCATAAAAGATGAGCATTATAGTTATCATATACCAATTAGTCACAACAATTAAAATGTTCTTCAAAAGTTTAAATGTTAAAATTGCATAGAAAAATATTAACGACCAAACTGAAGCATTTATAAAGTCCGTTTCTCCATGATGTCTAGATACGCTACCAAGAAATCTAACTGAATCAACACAAAGGAAGAAACTTGATAATGGGTGCTGGGTTCAACACCTTGGCATCGAAGATAAGCCACCCAAAGCGCCAAACTTCAGAAGTGTTTCATTAAAACACAATGTTTCCAAAGATGTTAATTTCATGTGAACCAAACCTCTTACAGTTACAAATTGGTTACTGCAACGTGATAACCTTGTCACAATTTTGATAAAACAAACAATACGACTTATAGAACAAGGAGTTTTGATCCAAGAAAACATTTATAGCACTTGGAATGAAAAGGATTTGTTAATAAAACAAAAATCAAAGACCTTCTGATTTCAAAACAACTTCTTCATCATCATCATCATCATCATCATCATCATCATCATCTTGCAGAGATATGAAATAAACTAAATATGAAATATAAGTTCTACATTTAAAATTCCAATTTTGAAGTTCGTCAAAATCATATCAACAAAAACTACTTGGATTTTGTAATTTATTAGTAATGAATTAGCAGGAACAAGACTATTCCTCATCAATTATAGCTTCACCTCATTTGAAACTGAAAAAAAAAACATGATGAACCAATTAAGCATAGAAAGGCGAACGTTCAGAATGAGTAGGATGTTTGTAATGGAATCCAACATTAATCCTCTAGTACCTACTAATTGATGTACCTGAGATGCATATCATCCAGCTCCGAGTGATCCATCAAATGAACTTGATTTATAGGCACGGATATCAGAAAATGATGAGTCACCTAGTGTCGCAAATATTCACTTGTGGCATAACATATCTCAATGGACTGAAGTACTTTTTCTACAGCGTGCGTTCCAATAAAAATGGTGGTTCTTCCAAAAACAAAACCTTCTTAATCAATAACTTTTCATACCGGAGGAGTGCTCACAGGGATACTGCAGAACATGTGCCAGCCCCTTCTACTGGAAGACTAAAATCCAATGAGGATTTCCGTTCATGAATTTAATCGGAATAATTACATGATCATCATTATGCTCGCCAACACGTCAATTACGCACAACAAGAATCTCAAATCGAAAAAGCATAATGGAAGACGACTGTAAAACCCTTAGAAAGCCTGAATCAATACATCAGTTTATCACATCTCTACAAAAAGACGTGATTCAGACGACCGTCGTGAGAAATTGAATCCAGAATCATCATTTGGTTCCGAAATCGCTGAATTCAAAACGGACAAAGCACGGATTGACCATACCTGGTGGTGGAGGGGATTAAAAACCCTGATAAAATATCTGCTTTGATGGTGTGATTATGGAGGGTTTCATCGCTGCTCATCAAACTGAAGCAGCCCGGTTGACCAAAAGATCTGTCCAGTATACACAAGCTTTGTTGGACGTCTTTCTTTGGTAGTTTTTAAGTGGAAAAAACTTGAATAGTTTTTTTATAACAGAGAAATCGGATATCAAATTTTTTATTAAATTATGTATTAATACATTTTTTAGAAAATGACAACACTAACCACTTTATACAACCTTCTTACATAAAATAACCAGTTTTTAGGGGTTTTACAAAACTAACCATACGGATCTCCCCCGGGGGCAATCCGTACTAAGGGGGGGCGATCCGGCCTTTTTCTTAGAAAAGAAATTTAAAAAAGAATTCTAAGAAAAAAGCTGGATCGCCCTCCCCACTAGTACGGATCGCCCCCGGGGAGATCCGTGTGGTTAGTTTTGTAAAACCCTTAAAAACTGGTTATTTTATGTAAGAGGGTTATATAAAGTGATTATTTTCATCATTTTCCCTAAATTTTTTTGTCCGGATAAATTTGTCTGTCTAGATAAATAGGTGGTGTTGTTTACTTTTTTTATTTGAATAATATAAATGACCGATTTACCTCCAATATTAAGAAGGCTGATATTCATACCCCTTTATGTCACTTTTTCACCTCTCCTCTCCTCAGGTACACTCACCATTGAACCGGTTTTTTTAAAATTTATAATTTTAAATTTACACTTTATACCCTTATGATTAGTTAATTAATTTACTTTACGTTATTTACTTTTAAATGTTTCATTTTAAATCTTTATCAAATTAACATACATAATTGTATATCAATTAAAACATGTTTAAAAAATACATTTTTATTTTAACAAATTACATCATTATAATCGTCTCGTTGATACCTTCGAAATGAGTCAAATATTGAATAGTTTTTGACTTAATTATATATATTGTGAAATGAACCCAATATTGAACATCGTTTTATTAACTAAAATCTGTTAAAAATATGTTTTTATTTTAATAAGTTACATCATCGTAATCGTCTCGTCAATACCTTCAAAATGAATCCAATATTGAACATCGTTTTATTTAATTATAGAATTGTAATTATATAAATATCATAAAAGTATAAAATAAAAATAAAGAAGTAAATAAATAT